CAAAAAACTTTTAAGATGTTTTTTTGTATTTGTTTTAAGCACTAAAATATTTATGCAAAGTTTTAATTCATTTGGATAAACGCTCGAAGAAAAAAGTGACAAAATTGATTTTGACTAGGGTCGCCCCAAATCCAAAATTGAAAATGTATTTCCTGCTTGGTTCTTTGCTCAAAAAACTTTTAAGATGTTTTTTTGTATTTGTTTTAAGCACTAGAATATTTATGCAAAGTTTCAATCCATTTGGATAAACCCTCGAAGAAAAAAGTGACAAAATTGATTTTGACTAGGGTCGCCCCAAATCCAAAATTTAAAATGTATTTCCTACTTGGTTCTTTGCTCAAAAAACTTTTAAGATGTTTTTTTGTATTTGTTTTAAGCACTAAAATATTTATGCAAAGTTTTAATCCATTTGGATAAACCCTCGAAGAAAAAAGTGACAAAATTGATTTTGACTAGGGTCGCCCCAAATCCAAAATTGAAAATGTATTTCCTACTTGGTTCTTTGCTCAAAAAACTTTTAAGATGTTTTTTTGTATTTGTTTATAGCACCAAAATATTTATGCAAAAGTTCAATCCATTTTTATAAACCCTCGAAGAAAAAAGTGACAAAATTGATTTTGACTAGGGTCGCCCCAAATCCAAAATTGAAAATGTATTTCCTACTTGGTTCTTTGCTCAAAAAACTTTTAAGATGTTTTTTTGTATTTGTTTTAAGCACTAAAATATTTATGCAAAGTTTTAATCCATTTGGATAAACCCTCGAAGAAAAAAGTGACAAAATTGATTTTGACTAGGGTCGGCCCAAATCCAAAATTGAAAATGTATTTCCTACTTGGTTCTTTGCTCAAAAAACTTTTAAGATGTTTTTTTGTATTTGTTTTGAGCTCTAGAATATTTGTGCAAAGTTTTAATCCATTTGGATAAACCCTCGAAGAAAAAAGTGACAAAATTGATTTTGACTAGGGTCGCCCCAAATCCAAAATTGAAAATGTATTTCCTACTTGGTTCTTTGCTCAAAAAACTTTTAAGATATTTTTTTGTATTTGTTTTAAGCATTAGAATATTTATGCAAAGTTTCAATCCATTTGGATAAATCCTCAAAGAAAAAAGTGACAAAATTGATTTTGACTAGGGTCGGCCCAAATCCAAAATTGAAAATGTATTTTCTACTTGGTTCTTTGCTCGAAAATATTTTAAGATGTTTTTTTGGATTTGTTTTAAGCATTAGAATATTTATGCAAAGTTTCAATTCATTTGGATAAACGCTCGAAGAAAAAAGTGACAAAATTGATTTTGACTAGGGTCGCCCCAAATCCAAAATTGAAAATGTATTTCCTGCTTGGTTCTTTGCTCAAAAAACTTTTAAGATGTTTTTTTGTATTTGTTTTAAGCACTAGAATATTTATGCAAAGTTTCAATCCATTTGGATAAACCCTCGAAGAAAAAAGTGACAAAATTGATTTTGACTAGGGTCGCCCCAAATCCAAAATTGAAAATGTATTTCCTGCTTGGTTCTTTGCTCAAAAAACTTTTAAGATGTTTTTTTGTATTTGTTTTAAGCACTAGAATATTTATGCAAAGTTTCAATCCATTTGGAAAACCCTCGAAGAAAAAAGTGACAAAATTGATTTTGACTAGGGTCGCCCCAAATCCAAAATTGAAAATGTATTTCCTACTTGGTTCTTTGCTCAAAAAACTTTTAAGATGTTTTTTTGTATTTGTTTTAAGCACTAAAATATTTATGCAAAGTTTCAATCCATTTGGATAAACCCTCGAAGAAAAAAGTGACAAAATTGATTTTGACTAGGGTCGCCCCAAATCCAAAATTGAAAATGTATTTCCTACTTGGTTCTTTGCTCAAAAAACTTTTAAGATGTTTTTTTGTATTTGCGTTAAGCACCAAAATATTTTTGCAAAGTTTCAATCCATTTTTATAAACCCTCGAAGAAAAAAGTGACAAAATTGATTTTGACTAGGGTCGCCCCAAATCCAAAATTGAAAATGTATTTCCTACTTGGTTCTTTGCTCGAAAATATTTTAAGATGTTTTTTTGTATTTGTTTTAAGCACTAGAATATTTATGCAAAGTTTCAATTCATTTGGATAAACCCTCGAAGAAAAAAGTGACAAAATTGATTTTGACTAGGGTCGCCCCAAATCCAAAATTGAAAATGTATTTCCTACTTGGTTCTTTGCTCAAAAAACTTTTAAGATGTTTTTTTGTATTTTTTTTAAGCACTAGAATATTTATGCAAAGTTTCAATCCATTTGGATAAACCCTCGAAGAAAAAAGTGACAAAATTGATTTTGACTAGGGTCGCCCAAAATCCAAAATTGAAAATGTATTTCCTACTTGGTTCTTAGTTCAAAAAACTTTTAAGATGTTTTTTTGTATTTGTTTTAAGCACTAGAATATTTATGCAAAGTTTCAATCTATTTGGATAAACCCTCGAAGAAAAAAGTGACAAAATTGATTTTGACTAGGGTCGCCCCAAATCCAAAATTGAAAATGTATTTCCTACTTGGTTCTTTGCTCAAAAAACTTTTAAGATGTTTTCATGTATTTGTTTTAAGCACTAGAATACTTGTGCAAAGTTTTAATCCATTTGGATAAACCCTCGAAGAAAAAAGTGACAATATTGATTTTGACTAGGGTCGCCCCAAATCCAAAATTGAAAATGTATTTCCTACTTGGTTCTTTGCTCAAAAAACTTTTAAGATGTTTTTTTGTATTTGTGTTAAGCAATAAAATATTTACGCAGAGTTTCAATCCATTTGGATAAACCCTCGAAGAAAAAAGTGACAAAATTGATTTTGACTAGGGTCGCCCCAAATCCAAAATTGAAAATGTATTTCCTACTTGGTTCTTTGCTCAAAAAACTTTTAAGATGTTTTTTTGTATTTGTTTTAAGCACCAAAATATTTACGCAAAGTTTTAATCCATTTGGATAAACCCTCGAAGAAAAAAGTGACAAAATTGATTTTGACTAGGGTCGCCCCAAATCCAAAATTGAAAATGTATTTCCTACTTGGTTCTTTGCTCGAAAATATTTTAAGATGTTTTTTTGTATTTGTTTTAAGCATTAAAATATTTATGCAAAGTTTTAATTCATTTGGATAAACCCTCGAAGAAAAAAGTGACAAAATTGATTTTGACTAGGGTCGCCCCAAATCCAAAATTGAAAATGTATTTCCTACTTGGTTCTTTGCTCAAAAAACTTTTAAGATGTTTTTTTGTATTTGTTTTAAGCATTAGAATATTTATGCAAAGTTTCAATCCATTTGGATAAACCCTCGAAGAAAAAAGTGACAAAATTGATTTTGACTAGGGTCGCCCCAAATCCAAAATTGAAAATGTGTTTCCTACTTGGTTCTTTGCTCAAAAAACTTTTAAGATTTTTTTTTTGTATTTGTGTTAAGCACCAAAATATTTATGCAAAGTTCAAATCCATTTTTATAAACCCTCGAAGAAAAAAGTGACAAAATTGATTTTGACTAGGGTCGCCCCAAATCTAAAATTGAAAATGTATTTCCTGTTTGGTTCTTTGCTCAAAAAACTTTTAAGATGTTTTTTCGTATTTGTTTTAAGCACTAGAATATTTATGCAAAGTTTCAATCCATTTGGATAAACCCTCGAAGAAAAAAGTGACAAAATTGATTTTGACTAGGGTCGCCCCAAATCCAAAATTGAAAATGTATTTCCTACTTGGTTCTTTGCTCAAAAAACTTTTAAGATGCTTTTTGTATTTGTTTTAAGCACTAGAATATTTACGCAAAGTTTCAATCCATTTGGATAAACCCTCGAAGAAAAAAGTGACAAAATTGATTTTGACTAGGGTCGCCCCAAATCCAAAATTGAAAATGTGTTTCCTACTTGGTTCTTTGCTCAAAAAACTTTTAAGATGTTTTTTTGTATTTGTGTTAAGCAATAAAATATTTACGCAAAGTTTCAATCCATTTGGATAAACCCTCGAAGAAAAAAGTGACAAAATTGATTTTGACTAGGGTCGCCCCAAATCCAAAATTGAAAATGTATTTCCTACTTGGTTCTTTGCTCAAAAAACTTTTAAGATGTTTTTTTGTATTTGTTTTAAGCACTAGAATATTTATGCAAAGTTTCAATCCATTTGGATAAACCCTCGAAGAAAAAAGTGACAAAATTGATTTTGACTAGGGTCGCCCCAAATCCAAAATTGAAAATGTATTTCCTACTTGGTTCTTTGCTCAAAAAACTTTTAAGATGTTTTTTTGTATTTGTTTATAGCACCAAAATATTTATGCAAAGTTTCAATCCATTTTTATAAACCCTCGAAGAAAAAAGTGACAAAATTGATTTTGACTAGGGTCGCCCCAAATCCAAAATTGAAAATGTATTTCCTACTTGGTTCTTTGCTCAAAAAACTTTTAAGATGTTTTTTTGTATTTGTTTTAAGCACTAGAATATTTATGCAAAGTTTTAATCCATTTGGATAAACCCTCGAAGAAAAAAGTGACAAAATTGATTTTGACTAGGGTCGGCCCAAATCCAAAATTGAACTAGTAATGAAGCCGATCACGCTTCATGGGAATATTCACACAATCCTATAGAACTCTCTATGTACTGTTCAGAAAATATTGAAAGATCTTCTCTCAATAAAATGTAAAACTTAAACTAAACATTTTAGTGTATTATCAACAAAGTAAAAAATGCCTTAAAAACACGTTTTGCAAAGAAAATCATGGTTCCAGTGTCGCAAAAAATACAATACTTAAAATTATAAATAAAAAAATACGACTTTTGAAGAAAGCCATTAACTCTCTGTTGTAGATCAGAATTAAACATAGGTTACAGTCTTGGATAGTTTTGCAACTTCCGCTTCGCTCCAGTTGCTACTCCGCAGTCAGTCTCTTATGTAGATCAGACTTCAAAATAGGTTACAGTAGGTTACAGTCTTCGATAGTTTTGCAACTTGTGTGCTCCGTTTCGTTCAACTGTTTATAGATTACAGTAGGTTTATAGATTACAGGTGTGATGAACTTCACTCCGTTTCACTCCGTTTCGTTCAACTGTTTATAGATTACAGTAGGTTTATAGGTTACAGGTGTGTTGAACTCCACTCCGTTTCACTCCGTTTCGTTCAACTGTTTATAGATTACAGTAGGTTTAAAGGTTACAGGTGTGTTGAACTCCACTCCGTTTCACTCCGTTTCGTTCAACTGTTTATAGATTACAGTAGGTTTATAAATTACAGGTGTGTTGAACTTCACTCCGTTTCACTTCGTTTCGTTCAACTGTTTATAGATTACAGTAGGTTTATAGGTTACAGGTGTGTTGAACTCCACTCCGTTTCGTTCAACTGTTTATAGATTACAGTAGGTTTATAGGTTACAGGTGTGTTGAACTCCACTTCGTTTCACTCCGTTTCGTTCAACTGTTTATGGATTACAGTAGGTTTATAGGTTACAGGTGTGTTGAACTCCACTCCGTTTCACTCCGTTTCGTTCAACTGTTTATAGATTACAGAAGGTTTATAGGTTACAGGTGTAAAATATAATCTCAGTAGTCTGAGAAAATAAAAAAAATCAGTTGAAAAACACGAACAAAAACATTAAGACGTGTTTCATTAAAAATTAAAAATAAAACAACAGGTGTGTTGAACTCAGATCTTATAGATTACAGTAGGTTTATAAATTACAGGTGTGTTGAACTTCAATATCAATATTTATTTTTAAATACTTTTAAGGTCATAGATGCAACCAAATTATCTAGATCGATCTGGATTTTTAAAAACGGGTAAAATTTTTACGCCTTCACTTCGCTTCGCTCCGTTCAGGTCGTAAAAATTTGTGAGCTTCGCTCAACCTAGTTTAGATTTATAGGTTACAGGTGTGTTGAACTCCACTCCGTTTCACTCCGTTTCGTTCAACTGTTTATAGATTACAGTAGGTTTAAAGGTTACAGGTGTGTTGAACTCCACTCCGTTTCACTCCGTTTCGTTCAACTGTTTATAGATTACAGTAGGTTTATAGGTTACAGGTGTGTTGAACTTCACTCCGTTTCACTCCGTTTCGTTCAACTGTTTATGGATTACAGTAGGTTTATAGGTTACAGGTGTGTTGAACTCCACTCCGTTTCACTCCGTTTCGTTCAACTGTTTATAGATTACAGAAGGTTTATAGGTTACAGGTGTAAAATATAATCTCAGTAGTCTGAGAAAATAAAAATAATCAGTTGAAAAACACGAACAAAAACATTAAGACGTGTTTCATTAAAAATTAAAAATAAAACAACAGGTGTGTTGAACTCAGATCTTATAGATTACAGTAGGTTTATAAATTACAGGTGTGTTGAACTTCAATATCAATATTTATTTTTAAATACTTTTAAAGTCATAGATGCAACCAAATTATCTAGATCGATCTGGATTTTTAAAAACGGGTAAAATTTTCACGCCTTCACTTCGCTTCGCTCCGTTCAGGTCGTAAAAATTTGTGAGCTTCGCTCAACCTAGTTTAGATTTATAGGTTACAGGTGTGTTGAACTCCACTCCGTTTCACTCCGTTTCGTTCAACTGTTTATAGATTACAGTAGGTTTAAAGGTTACAGGTGTGTTGAACTCCACTCCGTTTCACTCCGTTTCGTTCAACTGTTTATAGATTACAGTAGGTTTATAAATTACAGGTGTGTTGAACTTCACTCCGTTTCACTTCGTTTCGTTCAACTGTTTATAGATTACAGTAGGTTTATAGGTTACAGGTGTGTTGAACTCCACTCCGTTTCACTCCGTTTCGTTCAACTGTTTATAGATTACAGTAGGTTTATAGGTTACAGGTGTGTTGAACTCCACTCCGTTTCACTCCGTTTCGTTCAACTGTTTATAGATTACAGAAGGTTTATAGGTTACAGGTGTAAAATATAATCTCAGTAGTCTGAGAAAATAAAAAAAATCAGTTGAAAAACACGAACAAAAACATTAAGACGTGTTTCATTAAAAATTAAAAATAAAACAACAGGTGTGTTGAACTCAGATCTTATAGATTACAGTAGGTTTATAAATTACAGGTGTGTTGAACTTCAATATCAATATTTATTTTTAAATACTTTTAAAGTCATAGATGCAACCAAATTATCTAGATCGATCTGGATTTTTAAAAACGGGTAAAATTTTCACGCCTTCACTTCGCTTCGCTCCGTTCAGGTCGTAAAAATTTGTGAGCTTCGCTCAACCTAGTTTAGATTTATAGGTTACAGGTGTGTTGAACTCCACTCCGTTTCACTCCGTTTCGTTCAACTGTTTATAGATTACAGTAGGTTTATAGGTTACAGGTGCAGGGGCGTAGCCAGGGGGGGGCCATAGGGGGCCCGGGCCCCCCCTACGAAAATCTGATAATTGTTTTATTAAGTATTTATAGAGAAGAACCAGTTAATGTAGAGGAAGTGATGAAAGAAATGTCAAAATCAGCACGAAAAATCAAATTTAATGTATGAATAATGAATTAAATATTTAAACTTATGAGGAATGAATATAGATTTAAGGATACAAAATAACGGTTTTTTTAATTTTCGAAAATGGGCCCCCCCCTTAAAAATTTTCTGGCTACGCCCCTGTACAGGTGTGTTGAACTCCACTCCGTTTCGTTCAACTGTTTCTAGATTACAGAAGGTTTATAGGTTACAGATCGTACTGAATTTTTTTAAACTGGGTAAAATTTTCACGCCTTCACTTCGCTTCGCTCCGTTCAGGACGTAAAAATTTGTGAGCTTCGCTCAACCTAGTTTAGATTTATAGGTTACAGGTGTGTTGAACTCCACTCCGTTTCACTCCGTTTCGTTCAACTGTTTATAAGTTACAGTAGGTTTATAGGTTACAGGTGTGTTGAACTCCACTCCGTTTCGTTCAACTGTTTATAGATTACAGTTGGTTTATAGGTTACAGGTGTGTTGAACTCCACTCCGTTTCACTCCGTTTCGTTCAACTGTTTATAGATTACAGTAGGTTTATAGGTTACAGGTGTAAAATATAATCTCAGTAGTCTGAGAAAATAAAAAAAATCAGTTGAAAAACACGAACAAAAACATTAAGACGTGTTTCATTAAAAATTAAAAATAAAACAACAGGTGTGTTGAACTCAGATCTTATAGATTACAGTAGGTTTATAAATTACAGGTGTGTTGAACTTCAATATCAATATTTATTTTTAAATACTTTTAAAGTCATAGATGCAACCAAATTATCTAGATCGATCTGGATTTTTAAAAACGGGTAAAATTTTCACGCCTTCACTTCGCTTCGCTCCGTTCAGGTCGTAAAAATTTGTGAGCTTCGCTCAACCTAGTTTAGATTTATAGGTTACAGGTGTGTTGAACTCCACTCCGTTTCACTCCGTTTCGTTCAACTGTTTATAGATTACAGTAGGTTTATAGGTTACAGGTGTGTTGAACTCCACTCCGTTTCACTCCGTTTCGTTCAACTGTTTCTAGATTACAGAAGGTTTATAGGTTACAGATCGTACTGAATTTTTTTAAACTGGGTAAAATTTTCACGCCTTCACTTCGCTTCGCTCCGTTCAGGACGTAAAAATTTGTGAGCTTCGCTCAACCTAGTTTAGATTTATAGGTTACAGGTGTGTTGAACTCCACTCCGTTTCACTCCGTTTCGTTCAACTGTTTATAAGTTACAGTAGGTTTATAGGTTACAGGTGTGTTGAACTCCACTCCGTTTCACTCCGTTTCGTTCAACTGTTTATAGATTACAGTTGGTTTATAGGTTACAGGTGTGTTGAACTCCACTCCGTTTCACTCCGTTTCGTTCAACTGTTTATAGATTACAGTAGGTTTATAGGTTACAGGTGTGTTGAACTCCACTCCGTTTCACTGCGTTTCGTTCAACTGTTTATAGATTACAGTAGGTTTATAGGTTACAGATCGTACTGGATTTCCAAATGTATCGACCAAGAATCCAAAATTAACCATGTTTACAACTCAGAACCAAAAGTATGTAAAATTTTAATTATTTTTGAAACTTGGAGCCAAGATCCAGTAAAGTTTGGATCATGGCTGAAACTTAAAACCAAGATCCAGTAAACTCACAATCATGCCTGCACCAAATTACCAAGATCCAGTAAAGTTTTAAGAATGTCTGAAACTTAAAACCAAGATCCAGTAAAGTTTTAATCATGTCTGAAACTTAAAACCAAGATCCAGTAAAGTTTTAAGAATGTCTGAAACTTAAAACCAAGATTCAGTAAAGTTTTAAGCATGTCTGAAACTTAAAACCAAGATTCAGTAAAGTTTTAAGCATGTCTGAAACTTAAAACCAAGATCCAGTAAAGTTTTAAGCATGTCTGAAACTTAAAATCAAGATCCAGTAAAGTTTTAACCATGTCTGAAACTTAAAATCTAGATCCAGTAAAGTTATAAGCATGTCTGAAACTTAAAATCAAGATCCAGTAAAGTTTTAAGCATGTCTATAACTTAAAACCAAGATCCAGTAAAGTTTTAAGCATGTCTGAATCTTAAAACCAAGATCCAGTAAAGTTTTAAGCATGTCTGAAACTTAAAACCAAGATCCAGTAAAGTTTTAATCATGTGTGAAACTTAAAACCAAGATCCAGTATAGTTTTAAGCATGTCTGAAACTTAAAACCAAGATCCAGTAAAGTTCAAATCATGTCTGAAACTTAAAACCAAGATCCAGTCAAGTTTTAAGCATGTCTGAAACTTAAAATCAAGATCCAGTAAAGTTTTAATCATGTCTGAAACTTAAAATCAAGATCCAGTAAAGTTTTAATCATGTCTGAAACTTAAAACCAAGATCCAGTAAAGTTTTAAGCATGTCTATAACTAAAAACCAAGATCCAGTAAAGTTTTAAGCATGTCTATAACTTAAAACCAAGATCCAGTAAAGTTTTAAGCATGTCTATAACTAAAAACCAAGATCCAGTAAAGTTTTAAGCATGTCTATAACTTAAAACCAAGATCCAGTAAAGTTTTAAGCATGTCTGAATCTTAAAACCAAGATCCAGTAAAGTTTTAAGCATGTCTGAAACTTAAAACCAAGATCCAGTAAAGTTTTAATCATGTGTGAAACTTAAAACCAAGATCCAGTAAAGTTTTAAGCATGTCTGAAACTTAAAACCAAGATCCAGTCAAGTTTAAATCATGTCTGAAACTTAAAACCAAGATCCAGTCAAGTTTTAAGCATGTCTGAAACTTAAAATCAAGATCCAGTAAAGTTTTAATCATGTCTGAAACTTAAAATCAAGATCCAGTAAAGTTTTAATCATGTCTGAAACTTAAAACCAAGATCCAGTCAAGTTTTAAGCATGTCTGAAACTTAAAATCAAGATCCAGTAAAGTTTTAATCATGTCTGAAACTTAAAATCAAGATCCAGTAAAGTTTTAATCATGTCTGAAACTTAAAACCAAGATCCAGTCAAGTTTTAAGCATGTCTGAAACTTAAAACCAAGATCCAGTAAAGTTTAAAGCATGTCTGAAACTTAAAACCAAGATCCAGTAAAGTTTAAAGCATGTCTGAAACTTAAAACCAAGATCCAGTAAAGTTTAAAGCATGTCTGAAACTTAAAACCAAGATCCAGTAAAGTTTTAATCATGTCTGAAACTTAAAACCAAGATCCAGTAAAGTTTTAAGCATGTTTGAAACTTAAAACCAAGATCCAGTAAAGTTTTAATCATGTCTGAAACTTAAAATCAAGATCCAGTAAAGTTGTAAGCATGTCCGAAACTTAAAACCAAGATCCAGTAAAGTTTTAAGCATGTCTATAACTAAAAACCAAGATCCAGTAAAGTTTTAAGCATGTCTATAACTTAAAACCAAGATCCAGTAAAGTTTTAAGCATGTCTGAATCTTAAAACCAAGATCCAGTAAAGTTTTAAGCATGTCTGAAACTTAAAACCAAGATCCAGTAAAGTTTTAAGCATGTCTGAAACTTAAAACCAAGATCCAGTAAAGTTTTAAGCATGTCTGAAACTTAAAATCAAGATCCAATAAAGTTTTAAGCATGTCTTAACTTAAAACCAAGATCCAGTAAAGTTTTAAGCATGTCTGAAACTTAAAACCAAGATCCAGTAAAGTTTTAATCATGTCTGAAACTTAAAATCAAGATCCAGTAAAGTTTTAAGCATGTCTGAAACTTAAAATCAAGATCCAGTAAAGTTTGAGAAAAAGTACAAGTGGGCTTTGACAATTTCAATTTGAATTTTTTTTATAATTAAGAAATAAGAAAAAGATCTAAGTAGGCTTTGACAATTACAATTTCAATCAATTTTATAATTAAGATAAGAAAAAGTTCGTAGTGAACTTTGAAAATTTGTTGAAAGTGAAAAATCATTGTGGAAAATTAATTCAATCATTTAACAAGTATTTAACACACTTTCACAGACATTGTGAAAGTAAAATTGAAATTGTGCTGTCGTTGGAAATAAGATTCAGTAAGTATAAGCCTGTTTGAAACAAAAACAAAATAATCGAGTAGGAAAAAAATTAAGAATTAAACAAAAAAAAAAATATTTTCATTATGATACAAATAAAGTTTGTATTTAATAACATAGATACAGTATGCTGAATCTTGTAAAGGAACTTGCTAGTTCCAACATTTTTTCACATACATTTAACTTAATGCATACTGTCACAACCATTTTATTAATATCACACTAATACCAACAAATATTTCCGTTGTAAACAAAAAATAAATATGTTATGTAATAATCGGTTAAACTTTTCCCATACAAATATGTTTATGCATCTTGTGCCTCACTGGAAGCATCTTATGACTCCAAAAACAATACAGTTCTTGCGGTAGCCTTTATCTATCAGAAGCAAAAAACCGGAAGTCTTAATATTAAGTTTGAAGCGAGTTATCGCACCGATTAACTAACTAACTAACAGAATGCCCTTTTTTGCGAGTTTTTGGAACTGGAACTGCCAAATGAAAAATTGTTTTCACCATTAGATAGGTATTTCGAGGCACAAACTTTTACATATCAGGTATTTGGGTTGATTTCGTAAGCCTGAAGCAGAAAGTTAAAAAAACTGATTTTCCGAAAAACCAAAAACAATATATTCACAAAAATTGAAAATTTTGTGTGAATATGAAATGTATTTCCTACTTGGTTCTTTGCTCAAAAAACTTTTAAGATGTTTTTTGTATTTGTTTATAGCACCAAAATATTTATGCAAAGTTTCAATCCATTTTTATAAACCCTCGAAGAAAAAAGTGACAAAATTGATTTTGACTAGGGTCGCCCCAAATCCAAAATTGAAAATGTATTTCCTACTTGGTTCTTTGCTCAAAAAACTTTTAAGATGTTTTTTTGTATTTGTTTTAAGCACTAAAATATTTATGCAAAGTTTTAATCCATTTGGATAAACCCTCGAAGAAAAAAGTGACAAAATTGATTTTGACTAGGGTCGGCCCAAATCCAAAATTGAAAATGTATTTCCTACTTGGTTCTTTGCTCAAAAAACTTTTAAGATGTTTTTTTGTATTTGTTTTGAGCTCTAGAATATTTGTGCGAAGTTTTAATCCATTTGGATAAACCCTCGAAGAAAAAAGTGACAAAATTGATTTTGACTAGGGTCGCCCCAAATCCAAAATTGAAAATGTATTTCCTACTTGGTTCTTTGCTCAAAAAACATTTAAGATATTTTTTTGTATTTGTTTTGAGCATTAGAATATTTATGCAAAGTTTCAATCCATTTGGATAAATCCTCAAAGAAAAAAGTGACAAAATTGATTTTGACTAGGGTCGGCCCAAATCCAAAATTGAAAATGTATTTTCTACTTGGTTCTTTGCTCGAAAATATTTTAAGATGTTTTTTTGTATTTGTTTTAAGCATTAGAATATTTATGCAAAGTTTCAATTCATTTGGATAAACCCTCGAAGAAAAAAGTGACAAAATTGATTTTGACTAGGGTCGCCCCAAATCCAAAATTGAAAATGTATTTCCTGCTTGGTTCTTTGCTCAAAAAACTTTTAAGATGTTTTTTTGTATTTGTTTTAAGCACTAGAATATTTGTGCAAAGTTTCAATCCATTTGGATAAACCCTCGAAGAAAAAAGTGACAAAATTGATTTTGACTAGGGTCGCCCCAAATCCAAAATTGAAAATGTATTTCCTGCTTGGTTCTTTGCTCAAAAAACTTTTAAGATGTTTTTTTGTATTTGTTTTAAGCACTAGAATATTTATGCAAAGTTTCAATCCATTTGGAAAACCCTCGAAGAAAAAAGTGACAAAATTGATTTTGACTAGGGTCGCCCCAAATCCAAAATTGAAAATGTATTTCCTACTTGGTTCTTTGCTCAAAAAACTTTTAAGATGTTTTTTTGTATTTGTTTTAAGCACTAAACTATTTATGCAAAGTTTCAATCCATTTGGATAAACCCTCGAAGAAAAAAGTGACAAAATTGATTTTGACTAGGGTCGCCCCAAATCCAAAATTGAAAATGTGTTTCCTACTTGGTTCTTTGCTCAAAAAACTTTTAAGATGTTTTTTTGTATTTGTGTTAAGCAATAAAATATTTACGCAAAGTTTCAATCCATTTGGATAAACCCTCGAAGAAAAAAGTGACAAAATTGATTTTGACTAGGGTCGCCCCAAATCCAAAATTGAAAATGTATTTCCTACTTGGTTCTTTGCTCAAAAAACTTTTAAGATGTTTTTTTGTATTTGTTTTAAGCACTAGAATATTTATGCAAAGTTTTAATCCATTTGGATAAACCCTCGAAGAAAAAAGTGACAAAATTGATTTTGACTAGGGTCGGCCCAAATCCAAAATTGAAAATGTATTTCCTACTTGGTTCTTTGCTCAAAAAACTTTTAAGATGTTTTTTGTATTTGTTTTGAGCACTAGAATATTTGTGCAAAGTTTTAATCCATTTGGATAAACCCTCGAAGAAAAAAGTGACAAAATTGATTTT